GACGTTTATTTTTAAAGGTTGTTGTTGAAGTCAGGAGCCCGCCTGAAGAGAGGAATGGCGTTTTTTTTCTCAAAATTGTTTGTTGAAGTCAGGAGCCCGCCTAAAGAAAGGAATGGCGTTTATTTTTAAAGGTTGTTGTTGAAGTCAGGAGCCCGCCTAAAGAGAGGAATGACGTTTATTTTAAAAAGTTGTTTGTTTGAAGTCAGGAGCCCGTCTGATGAGAGGAAAGGCGTTTTATTTGTTCAAAGTTGTTGTTGAAATCAGGAGCCCGCCTGAAGAGAGGAAAGACGTTTTATTTTAAGAGTTATTTGTTGAAGTCAGGAGCCCGCGTAAAACCGGCGAACTTGAAGAAGGAGCAGCAACAATAATCAATAGTACCAAAAAATAAAGAGATAGACAAATATGCCTAAACAAACCACCCGAACCTCCATCACTGTCGTTTCTTTCATTCTTTTGGACCTTCCACCTTCACAATTTTTGGACGAAAAGATCTCCTTGTCTTGCCCACGCCCAGGAAAGAAAAGATCAGATCAGCAACGGCTTTCGAGTAGAGGATTTTTTTGCTTTTCATTATTCTCTCGGAGTTGAGTTATAGTTAGCAGATGAGATCTAATTCACTAGAGGAAGGGATGGTGATTAACCGATAGAACCTCTTCTCTTCTTTCAAATCGCATCTCTCAAGTGAGAAGAAAAGGCCCCTCACGGAGCGGTGGGAAAGCAAGGGCGTAACAGGAAGAAGAAGTATGAAAGCAACAAATCATATCTCGGGGTTTGCAGCGATAACTCGGTATATCTACTATACGACCATTAACTAAAATATGTCGATGGTTAACTAATTGACAGGCTGCAGGAATAGTTGAAGCCATACCCAATCGGAAAAGGATGTTATCCAAACGTATTTCAAGTAATTGTAGTAAAACTTGACCTGTTGACCCATTGGCTTTTCTGGCGATACGAACGTATTTAAGTAATTGTCGTTCTATAAGACCATAAAAATCAGTAAGGCAGAAATTATATGATGACCAAATTATACAAAAGAGAGATACTAGCAAATGGGCGACCGTGCTAGAACTACGGAATCCGGGAATGTCTAACACCTTCTCCCAGGTTAACAGAATTCCTTACCCGATTTTCTGGTTTCGCATACTTTAAACAGAGTCAAATTTCCTTGATTTGGGATTTTAAATAAACCGGTGACTTGGGACACCATTACAAATATTCCAAGTGGCGACTCAGATTAAATAAATAATCTCATTTTGTATAATGTCATTTTAATTGAAAAAACTCCTTATCTCTCTCGAAAAAAGGAGGTGTGACAGCACTTGCAAGTATAATTTTACTCAACGTAGGATTTAACTTACATAAAGTTAAATAATACTATTACTTTGGTTTGGCTTGTAAAATAATCGGTAAACAATTCATATAGGGTGGACAGTGTGTCCAAGATAATTGGTAAATATGTATGAAAAAAAGCAACCATTATGCATGGGTTTTCATATTATTTTTAGATCTTCGACAACGTTAATAATTACTTGTTATTAATATATGAATTTTTATATGTTACACAGTTTAAACAAGGAAGTAATTATATAAAGTAAAATCTAAATCGATTTTTAAGTCCAAAATATTAGAATTTCCTACATAATTCAAATAAAGAAAGAATTAATAAGTAAAATTTTAGTTGATTTTAAATTCCTAAAATTTAAAAAAGTTACTTAAATTGCAATTTCGTTAAAATATAAAATATATTTTAAAAGGATAAAAAAGGTGAACGACGTTTCTTTAAGGATTTTCGTGTTTTTAATATAATACCGATTATATACCCCAACCGTATACAACATACAAAACTATGATATGTGTAATTTTTGAATGGACGAATTTTGTAAATAGGTACGAATAATTAACTTTTTTTTTAACTCCACCTTGGTACTTTCTATCATTTGTCTCCTCCTAACATTAGCAGTTGCTGGCGGAGGCGGCGGTGGAATAAGTGGCGGAGGCGGAGGCGGTGGCAGAGGCAGTATCGGAAGCGGAATAAGTGGCGGAGGTGGAGGCGGAGGCGGCGGTGGAAGAAATAGCGGTGGTGGTGGAGGCAGGTCTATTGGAGTCGGTGGCGGTGGTGGAAGAAATATTGGAGGAAGTAATGTGTTTCAGACTGGTCATTCGGCAAGCAGTAGTGCATCTAGTTCATTATGGGTGTATTGCATTACCATGTCTAATTTTTATTTTTATTTTACTTTTCATTTTTTAGCTTTTAAAATTGAATAAAAATTTACGTGCGAAATAGAGTACATAGACGATGTAAATGCCGTTGTGTAGTGATTATTAATTAGTATATTATTAATTGTGTGAAAATATTTTTACATTGTATATTTTACATCATCATTGTATATAAATAATTAAACTCTGATATGCATTTGTAGCAACTATATTTTTTTCGTAAAGAAAACTGTTGGTGCATTATTTTTCAAAACTGTGTTCTAAAGTTTGAACCTCAAGAACTGTCTTGAAGTTTGAAGAACCGATTTTGCTCTCTTTTCAAGGTTATGGTTATGTTTTAAATATATTGCAAAATGCTGATTATATTTTAAAGAGCAACCCATAAGTGGCTATTGGTGCACTTTTGTTAAGCCCAATAGAAATATTTTTGAGCAAATATCACTTTTCGCCTAATATTTGGTAGCCACAAAATATATAAGATTCGGCGCAAAGGAAAATTAGAACTTTTAACAAAACAAATCTTCTGTTGATTAAACAAGCATCCTAACCATGGTTAAGAATAGAAATTACTACCTTTTAATTCTCTTCATCTTTCATAAGCAAGAAAATATCAAAATCTCCAAAAATTGGAACCAATTGAAATAAATTCGCAAAGCAATGAAGCGAATTGAAAAAAAAAAGTGTATTGGAATTTTATGATAACGCGATTAACAAAAATTGCTAATCCTGTAAAAGACTTTTTGTTTTCAAATGCAATATACGAATTTTTGTCTAACTTGAACATTTTTTCATAAAGTTTCTCCAACAAAAAAGTTTAGATTACCGATTGTTTAATATTGGCGAAAATCATGTACAACCACCTAAACTTGTCCCGATTTTCCTCTGGGACACCTTATTTAAGGTATGTTCCGATTGAACACTTCATTTAACACAGATTTGTTTCAAATAAACACTTTGCGTGACATGGCACATTAAGTGTAATATTTCCAGGCCTTTTGTTTCCAACAGTTGCAGCAGTACATTCAGCAGAACTAGAACCCTTAGTCTGACTAGATGAAGCATCTCTTGGACTTACAAATGGGGTTTCTCTTCCATTACCTCTTTTGCTTCCACCTCATCTGCCTTTCCCAACACCTCCCCTATTTTGGTTAACTCTTCTAACGGTTGTAGTGTCTCCACAAACAGAGCTTGGTTGGGTTGGTTGGCTTGGTTGGGTATTTGATTCTCTGGCTATGAAGAATCCCTCACTTCAGACTACAACACACAACATAACATATGTAGATAGAATGTATAAACATGTAAGACATTGAAAAAGAACAGTGAGAAATATATGTAGATAGAATGTATAAACTTACTCTTGTTTGACATACTTTTCTGTTGTGGCCAGTCTGTTTGCATTTTGAACACGTCATTTTGACACCCTTCTTTGATTGCTTTCCATACTTCTTTTTCGGTTCATCCTTAGCCTTTCTTCTACACTTTTTAGGTCTACCTGGCATTGGCTTTGGCAAAGGAGGCTCTATTGATGGATTTGAGCTTTCAGGCCACATCTTTAGATTGGGAATAGGTTGAATATAGTAACTGTAGGCCTTCAAAAATGTATCATTCCTATACCAATGCTCTACATGCTCATCTGGATCTAAGTTTAATTTATAATAAGCACAAACTGCATGGGGGCAAGGAATACATCTTAACTGCCATAGCCTACAATCACAAGTCTTGTTTCCCAAATGAACCCTAAACCTATATCCATTGTCTAAAATTTCAAAACCACCTTGTGCATTCCACTTAACTTTACACTTCTTAGAGTACTCTTTGTTTTCCTCTAGTATTGTTCTTGCCATAGGAGAAATATCTGTAATCCATGTTTTAGCAAAATTGATCATATCCACATGTCTGTTCATTAGTTTATGCATAATTTCCTCTAACATGGTGATAATAGACTTATGCCTAGCAGCTAAAATCCAAGAATTGAATGTCACTCATGTTGTTCTCAACAATATCACATTTGGTATGAACTTTAAAATAGGCCCTGCACCATGTTTCCTTCGAATATTGCAACAAATCCTCACATATTTCCTTCTTACCTAATTTACTCAATGCTTCCAGCTCCTCTTTAAATTTGACTTCAAAGCTAGCTTTTGAACATCTCCAGAACTGATTTCTTCTAGCTTCTCCTCTCCATTTGATATGCAGTTACTCCAGATATGCCTAGCACACATTCTTTGCTCTACATTTGGCAATAACTCCATTATGGCAGGAACAAGTCCCTACAAAATAAAGTACTTAGAATATCAAAAAGTTCAGAAGAATATAATCAAAAGAAGAACAGAAAATTTAGATGAATATAATCAAAAGAAAATCATAAAGTTTAGAAGAGCAGAAACAAAAGAATAACAGAAAGTTTAGATGAATATAATTAAAAGAAAATCAGAAAGTTTGGAAGAGCAGAAAGATTACCTTTTGCATATCTGACATTACAGTCAAACCTTCACCAGTGCCCAAATTTTAGTCATCAATCAAATATCCTAAGAACCAACTCCAGCTATGTTTTGTTTCTTGATCCACTATTGCCCAAGCAATAGGAAACATTTGATTGTCTCCATTCTTTCCAACAGCAGCAAGAAGTTGACCTCCACAAGCTCCCTTAAGAAAACAACCATCAAATCCTATGATTTTCCTACACCCATCTAACCATCCTTTCTTGAAGGCTTCAAAGCATACATAGAAATATACAAACAAATTCTTCTCAGGATCAGTCTCTCTATCAATTTTAACCCAGCATGAGCTTCCTGGATTAATTTGCTTGATCATGTCTGCATAATCACAAAACCTTGAGAATTCCAGCTTCCAATCACCCATATTTTCCTTCAGAACTTTATGTTTTGCTCTCTGACACACAGTCCTACCAACATAAAGACCCAACTTATCTCTAACCAGCTCTTCCCAAAGCCTTATATATGGCTGGGAAACTATCATATCCTTGAACTTTCTGCAATAAGGTTAAAAGTGCAAATCTTATTTTTGTTAGTAGGAATGCATTTATGTACAGGATGATAGTTAATGACTCTAAAATCACCAGAGTCTCTATCCAAAGAAGCAGCCAACAACTATTTACATGTACTTGTTTTACACTTAACCCTTACCCTATGAGTCTCATTAGGTCTTAGTTTAATTTGCCTCCTATACTCAACAGCATAATCTGCCACAACCTTTTTAAATTGTGTTACATTCTCAAATATCATACCAAGCTCAAATACAGCTACCTCACAAGCTTTATCATATCTTACTTTTTTACTTCTCCTCCTAGAGGGTAGATCTACTCCTCTAACAGCTTCTGCATCTAGCTCCCCCCTGCTATCATCACTCCAACATTCAGAGCTACTGATATACTCTTCATCTCCCCCCAATTTTTCCGCATATTTATTAGCCTTGTTTACCCCAATATCCTCAAACCCATATCTATACCACCAGCCTCTCCAACAGGTATCTCTTCTGTAACAGGAGCTTTTTTCTTCTGTTTTTTATTTCTTTTGTCTTTCTAAGAGTTCTCAACTCCTCATCTACATCTAAGTCATCCTCTTCAGGTATATCTTCCAGATCTGAATCACTACTCTCCACCTCTGAAAGATGACTTTCTACATGTAACGGACCAGTGCAATCACCTCCCAAACTTTCAACTACCTCTTCTACAATAATTTCTTGTAGGTTAAATGACTCATCATCTCTGTTATTTAATAAAAAAATTCATTCTCTCCAGTTAGGTAGCCAATAGGTCCCTCCCCATCTACAGGTAAAGCAAGGTCAACAACATGTTTAACCCATATTTCAAAGTTGTCTCCATGCTTTAAGTCTTTTATTAAATCTAATAGGTGTAGGTCCGACTCCACTAAGTGAAATTGTTTGGTCTCACTATTCTGATAATAAAAGCCCTCGACAGTCGCATACCCCATTTCTTTAGTATAAAATTTCAGCTCCGTAATAAAAAGGTGGTCCTTGTCCATATACATACCTGCTAATTCACTCTCACCAACATAAGTGGGGACGGGAATCTCGGAAAAGTAGCCCCCATGGTGCATTTTTGTGAATATAATTTCCTTCGACATTTGAATCAAAGCTGAATAAAATCGAAAAGAGAGATTAGGGACAGTAACACAACGTTGCTCGAAATTAAACATATTCTCATGAAATCGAAAAAAGGATATAGGAAATTAACGGAATATTCTCAAACCCTAATCCCCAAATCATGAAGGTAAAAACCCTAACGTTTTAGACATATTTGAATAGTTATTTTTCATCAACGAGGGAAATTGATACTTACAGTAAGTATCTTCTGCATAAGAATCCAAGAATCACCAAAAGTTTCTTCAATTTTTGTTCTTCGATTTTCCTTCCAATTCGTTAGAGAGAGAAGAAGAAGAAAACGGGCGTTAAGTGGAATTACAGATATACGGGCGTTAAGGAGAAATTTACTGGGGCTTTTTTGCCTTATTTTTATCGGATATATTTTAATTACAATGCCACCGTAGAAAAAATAATACAGCCTTTACATTTTGATTGGTTGTTAATACACGTCCGTGGCGTTTGGTTACATGCGATGAACCTCTAGCACAAAAAGGGAAAAAAAGTGTGTATTTGAAATAAATCTGTGTTAAATGAAGTGTTCAATCGAAACATACCTTAAATAAGGTGTCCCAGAGAAAAATCGGGACAAGTTTAGGTGGCCGTACATGATAATATTTGAGACAAAGTTAAGAATAATCTATATTTAATATAATTATAGGATATTTCATTTTAATGATTTACAACAAATCTTGAGCGTGATTATTGGTTACTTTTGCGCTTTGACACTAGTTGTAATGTTAAATTTAGGGGATGGATATTTTCTTATCAAATATGTATAGACTTAAATTTATATATATATAGACACACACAGTCAGACTTCTCTATAACATCATCCCTATATAACAACATTCCACTATAAAAGCCAAGCTTTTTCGGAACCAATTTTCATGTTATGTTATAATATATGTTTTCTATAACAGCATTTTGCTATAACAACCAAAAATATTCAGAACAAACAAGGCTGTTATAGACAGGTTTGAGAATGGTGATGGTGGTGGTAGTAGGTTATAATGGTAAGCGGTGGTGACAGTTAGTAATGAATGTGAATGATAACATCTTAATGAAATTAAGTCTTTGTTATAAATCTTAATCATACAGACCTATTCATACTCATTAAATGATTGTGAAGTAAAAAAAATACACTTAATAATTAAGATTTGAATGACTAAGATTCAGACATCCAGTAAGTGCAAACAAATGAGGCCTAAGTCATCTTGAAAATTAACAAGTCCAAGCATATTGGACTTGGTAATTAGTATTGGATATATGGGCTAATATCGTAAAAATTGCATGGGGCGCCCTATTTGGTCGCCCACATTTAACCTATACCCATATTTTTAAAATTCTTTAACCTATACCCTAATTTTGACAGCTTCAGACGCCTCCTCTTCTTCCTCCTGACCTATGCGCTCCTTTATTCCTCCTCTTCTTTTCCTCTTCTTCTTTTCTCTCTCAAACACACAAAACTTTGTATAAGTATTATTGATTGGAACTGTAAAGTAAAATTGTGAATAGTTTAATGAATTTAGATTCTTGAAAGTTGTATAAGAATTAGAATGGTGTCAAACATTTAGTTTGTCCAGAACAGAACCTCCGTATAAATTCTTTGTACCAGAAGACCATTTCCAACCATGAAAACCTCATAATTGCTAAAAGATTTTTCATCCCAACTCCATCCAAAGTGGACGAGCAACTGGTGTACACTTGAGCTTGCTTCTCTAAATAGTGTGTAGAAATAAGGGAGATACATGTAACGAACATGTATCGCTTCCCTTATCAATTGTGTATTTCATTCTCTATAATGGACATAACAACTTCAGCTCTAAGAATGCTGAAGTTTAGCAAATATAAACACAAAAACTTCAGCTCCTAGAATGCCGAAGTTCAGCAAATATAAAACAAAACTCCAGCTCATAGAATGCTGAAGTTCAGCAATTACAAAACAAAAACTTCAGCTCCTAGAATGCCGAAGTTCAGCAAATATAAAACAAAACTCCAGCTCATAGAATGCTGAAGTTCAGCAATTACAAAACAAAAACTTCAGCTAAAACATGTTGAAGTTTTATTAAACTGAAGTTTGTCATTGCACTATGAACTGAAGTTTACGTGATTGTCTTTGCTAACGCTGTATTCTGGCCCGGGCCTTAGT